GTGATTTAAACATTTTTTTTTTTAAAGATTTTATTTATTTATTTGAGAGAGAGCGAGCATGAGGGGGAGAGGGTCAGAGGGAGAAGCAGACTCCTCGCTGAGCAAGGAGCCCGATGCGGGACTCGATCCCGGGACTCCAGGATCATGACCTGAGCCGAAGGCAGTCGCTTAACCAACTGAGCCACCCAGGCGCCAGTGATTTAAACATTTTTAAATGCAGGAATACCTTTTAAAAGAAATATACAAGATGCACGGGGAAATACTATAAAACTTTAGAGACAGAAAACTGATCTGAATAAAGTCACATACCAAATCCTGGATGGAAAGAGATTAGACGTGAACGTGAACTTTTAAAGGTTAATTTATATTGAAATTCTTAAATTTTGATTTTGAAAATCCCAAAAGGATTTGGAGGTTGGGGAAATGGATTGACTATACAATTCATAGGGAAAAATAAACTAGTGAAAATAGGTAACAACATGGAAAAAAAAAAAAAAAAAAGGAGAAGGGAGGAGTAGGGATTTGCTTTACCAGATCTTGAAGTGCATGATAAAACCTCAATGACCGAAACAATATTCACTGGCACAGGAAAAGCAGAGCAGATGAGCAGTGGAATAGAAGAACCAGTCTAGAAACAGACTTAGCCATGAACAAGAATTTAATATACAATAGAAGCAGCAAGTTCAAACAGTGAGAGAAAATGGACTCTCTTAAAGGAAATGATAAATTGGACAATAATATGATACTCAAAGGGGTGATCTCTTTCATATATATCCTTCATATTATATCATCTTTTCAAAATAAGGAAAAAAACAAACGCCTGAGTAGAAAATTGGGCAGAGATTATTAACAGGCAATACAAACACACAAAGAAAAGAAAATTATTTGACTGTGCTAGTAATGTAAAAAATGCAAATTAAAACAAGTTGTCGGCTTTTGTTTTTTATGTATCAAATTCATGAAGGTCTTAGATTATACTAACACCTTGTGAAGTGTAAGGCCTGTAACCTGCCAGGTGGGCAATCCAGCAGTCAACATCGAAAACCACAACAATGTGTATATCATTATTTCCACAACTATAAATTTACCCTAAGGATATAATTATGGTGTTGGACAGAGATTTATCTACAAGGTAGTTTAAGGAAGTATTGTTTATATTAGCCAAATACCAGGAAGAACCTAAAACGGGATTGGTTATGAGTTACAGCACATCCATATGAGATACTACAGGGTATTCACTAAAAGTAATGTTAGAAAAGTAGACTTAAGGACATGGGAAAATATTCATAATGTAGCTTGAAAAGATAGAAATTATTATTATTTTTAAAGATTTTATTTGACAGAGAGAGACAGCGAGAGCGAGAACACAAGCAGGGGAAGCGGGAGGGGGAGAAGCAGGCTTCCTGCCGAGCAGGGAGCCCAATGTGGGACTCAATCCCAGGATCCTGGGATCAGGACCTGAGCCGAAGGCAGATGCTTAACTGACTGAGCCACCTAGGCACCCCGAAGATAGAAATTATTTACTCTATGATCCCATGTTGACTTAAAAAAAGTATGCACAAAAGTCTAGATGGATACAGAACTTAGCAGGAATGTTAGCAGCTGTTACTGCTGCAAGATCTATTATAGGTGATTTTTATATTTTTTTGTGCTTTTTGGAACTTCCCAATTTTCTACACTAAACTATACTTTTATTTTCCAAAAACAACTGTGGAGATACACTTCAAAGTTCCACTGCTGTCCTCTGGCAGCTAGAATTATGGATGATTTAAATTGTTTTTAGAAAGACTTTCTATATTTCTCAAGATTTTCTGTAAGATTAGTTGTTTTGTTTGTTTTAAAGATTTTATTTGAGAGAGAGAGCAAAAGTGAGAGAGATCACAGAGGGAGAGGGAGAAGCAGACTTGCCCCTGAGAGGAGAGCCTGAGGCAGGACTTGATCCCAGGACCTGGGATCATGACCTGAGCCGAAGGCAAACGCTTAGCTGACTGAGCCACCCAGGCATCCCTGTAAAATTAGTTTTAAAAAGAAAAACCGCACACTCAAAGTGTTTCCTTAGGAGGCTAGACCCACAACGACCAGTTACAGTTCAGAGAAGCACAGACCGAGTGACAGATGCTCCTATCTATGCTGATGAACTGAATCCTTCACCCCAGGGGCTTGGGCTTCATCAGGCTCTGTATTCCCAGCACCTAGGACACAGCATCTTCAGTGCTCCATGAATGCCTCATCTAGAGAATGGAAAATACAAGCCTTCTAGAATGGTGGAGGTGGGGTATGTTCCTACCAACACCAAGAATATTAAAGTGGTAGTGTTGAGTATATGGTCCTCTTTGTGGAGTCCTAACGAACACCAATTACTCAGAATCTCTAAAGTGCCACAGAAAAGGTTTCTGTTTAAAAATCTAACCCAAGTATAATCAACTCTGCAATCTCAAAGAGGAAAACAAATTCCCATTGTTAGAAGGTCTTTCCCTAAGTTTTTGTTTTTTGTTTTTTTGAGAGCCATGTCAATCTTTTTATGTGATGTTTTAAGGTAAAAAATGGCTAAAGTGTATATGCACTTAGCAAAGCGGGATTGTTTTATAGGCGTCAACTACTAAAACCAGGGAGACTACAAGAGCAGCTGTTGAACTGACTTCAAAACCCGAAGATTCTTAAGCATCTACACTCATAAGGGGAGAAGAGCTGGGCAACTTTAAGTCCCTCCTCTGGACTGCAGCAACCAATTTTGGTTAAATTAAGAAATTTGAGTCTTTACTTCCCTCTTTTCTGTTCACATGCTCTGGACTAGAGAAAGAATTATCAAGACCTTAAAAGACCGAACTCCAAAAAAGAAAGGACAATAAGGAAACTAGATAACTCTTCAGCGAGCAAAAGTTGACTGGTCACACGGAAGCAGTCTGAATTAAAAGCAGCTTGCCCAGTGGGGACTCCTAATCCAGTTTTCTAGATTCTTTGCCTCCATAGCCTCTCATGTATACCTCAATCTGAGCCATAGCATATTCATTCAGACTGTCTCTGCATCTTTCCCATTAGACAGACAACATTTCTCTAGGAAGGGGACCATGCTGATTTAATACCCCCAGTGTGAACTCGTTTAATACCTAGTACTGAGTGCAAGTTCTTGAGACACTGTAGGCAAAAATAAACACCTCTGAACTGCTAAAAGGTAAAACTGACATTGTGCGGCATTCCTGCAGAGGTAAAAAGCATAAAGTTGTAGTAAGTGCAAAGAGCCCTTGCATGAAGGGGTAAAATTTTAATAACAAAAATGAGTGTCTAATGGAATAATAAAAAAATAAATGCCTACGTAAGGTGCGGGAGAAGAACTAGAAGACTTTTCAGCAGAAAGAATCCCAGTTTACCCAGTTCACCCCAAAGGCAGAAAGTTAAGAATCTAAAGATGAGAAAGAGAAGCCACATCTGATTACCTTTCCACCTTAAAAGATACTTTCGAGTTCCCAATTCACGATCTGAAAATCCCTAAAGCAAAAATGAAGCTTTGACTTCAACCACAGTCACAATCAGAGAAAGTAAAAGGGAAGAGGAGGGATGGGGAGAAGCACGTGTGCAGGGAGGCACATGCACGCACACACAGAGTTCCTCAGCGGAGTCATGCTAAATGTTCACCCTGTTCCAACATTCTCCTTCCTAGTAGGTCAGTCTGCCCTTTCACGGATGAAAAGTGTCATTCAGATCCTGACTTTCAGAGTCAGGCTCCCTCTTCAAAGAAGGTTTGCATGAAATAACCATATGTATTTACAGAACCATCATTACACATCATCTTGTTCATGCAGAGCACCGAGAAAGCCACTCAATCTGAATGGGTAGCCCGTATTTCAAATTGATGAGAGCTCGGAGACCAGAATGAAGCTTGTTCAATGGTTCTCAGCCCTGGCAGCACATAAGAATCACCTGGGGAGCTTTTAAAAAAATACTAGAGCAGAGCCTCAACCCAAACCAATTAAATCAGAATTGCTAGGGGTGAGGTCTGGGCATTGGTTTCTTTTTTTCTTTATTTTAAAGCTCCACAAAGAATTACTATTTCCACCCCCCACCCACCATGGTAAAAGTGGTTGTTTTTTAAAAAGTCTTTATTAGAGATAAAAGATTTGCTTTCAAATACTCCATGCAGAGGGGTAGTTTTGATTATACAAGATTAACAAAATGTTGATTGTTGAAGCTGGGTAATGGACACATAGGACTTGATTACATTATTTGTTCTCATATATTTGAAGATTTGTATGTTATTTTATAAAATTGGCAGAAATAAAATCTCTTCCTTCTCCTCAGATGTATACATGTGTGTAATACAAAAATATTTTTAAAAAAAAAACATTAAAATAAAAGCTTTGCAAGTGACTCTAATGTACAACCAGAGTCAAGAACCACTAGGCTACATCGTTGAAGGAGGGGCAAACCAGATTTAGAAAATAAAGATTTAAACAAACAGCAAGAGGCAATCCAGGTGATAGAGATCAACTCAGGAAGCCAGATGGATCCCAGGGTGGGTGGCAGACCTCCTCTAGTGAATCACCATCTCCAATTTGTGCTATGCATATATTTGCCTGATTTTTGAGAATCTTTATTCACAAGTAAACTGTAAATACACATATGTATGTGTATTTATATATATCTGGGTGTGTACATGATTTAAGACAGAACTACCAATTATATTCAGTAGCATGTAATTTTTTTAAAAACACTATTTGTGGAAACACTGCTCATGACCTAAACTGCTTTGGCCTGTGAAACAGTCACCCAGGAAGGCCCTCCTTAGGAGGAGTGGGTTGCAAGAGTGAGGGTTGGGGGTGTGGTTTCTGGAACCTGCAAGCCCTTCATCTACCTGAGTGATTTAGGGGCAGTGCTGCTTAGTCGGCCTGAGGAAACTCTTACATCAGGTGTTACTTGTGGGAAGAGCCCACGAAAAGCATCCAAGTCTCTAAGATCAGGGACTACATCAAAAGGACCCCCAACCCACCCCCAAAATCCCCAACTCACCTATTCTTCTCCATTTCATTGTGAGTTGATCTGAAAGAGGGAACAATAAGAAAACAGTAAGATTCTTCTTGTCTTAAAGAACTATTTCAGCACCAATACAATTTAACTTCTTTCTCTCCTAAGTTGGTAGGAGAGAAAACAGAAAGGGAGGAAAAACTCAGTGGGATCTGCTAAAGAAATCAGTTCCTTTGAGGAGTTAGGTAAATGTAAACATGTAAAATAGAGTTCAAGGAGAAGTGACAAACTTAAGAGGCATGCAATCCCTAGTGGAAATGTAATCCATTTGAAGAAAGGAAATAAAAGGGGCCTATTTATACAATGAGAAAAACAGCTGTGCCATGTGATGTGAATTCAGGTTATAGAACACCAAAGCTTTCTTCAGGCTGAGGGTAGAAGAGTGGAGGTGGCACCTCCTCCTAGTCCTGCAGTTTTTTCTAGGTGTAGTAGATATGCCAAAATTTTATGCTAAGTTGCTTAACAATAGGATACAATTTTAAGTGGATAAAAATAATCCTTTTTCCCCTCAATCTTTCTACTCCCTGACGTAATTATTTGATCATGTACAACCTCCTGCAAAACGCTACTGGTGAACAGCTCCCAAATGATTTCAGGAAGGGGCTTCTAAAACTTAGCTCAACATAAAGACGATACAGACTGGTGAAAGCCACAGTGAGGGTGAAATGTGAAGTCTAGCTTTGCCACCAACTGGTACTGTAGAATAAAATTCTTTACCATCTTGTCCTTGGTTTAACCCCTCTGTAAAATGGGAGTAAAAATTATTGTCAATTATCTACTGAACACACATAGATCAATGAGGCAGCAACTGTAAAAGTGATTAGAGAGCCTTGGACGAAAGCTATGGTGGATGTGAAATCCTATTATTAAAGTGTTTATAGCTGACCTTGAATATAAGGTCTGGTCTAAGAATTTATGGACAGGTTTCCATAGAAGTCACAGGAAGTCAGTCAATATGGCCACTACTGTGTCGTCCTCACACAACTCCTCCCTAATTATAAACTTGAGGAACATCCCAGCATTATAAAGGAGCTCAATCTTGACCTTTCTTTTTTTTTTTTTTTAAAGATTTTATTTATTTATTTGAGAGAGAGTAAGAGAGAGAAAGAGCACAAGAGTGGGGAGCAGGAGAGGGAGAAGCAGACTCCCTGCTGAGCAGGGAGCCCGATGCGGGACTCGATCCCGGGACTCCAGGATCATGACCTGAGCCGAAGGCAGTCGCTTAACCAACTGAGCCACCCAGGCGCCCACAATCTTGACCTTTCTTAATGGAAATTCTCCGGAATCTAACCCGTTCAGGAGAGAACACCCTGGCTGAGGCCAGAACCCTCCTGGGCCTACAGAGGAATTCTCAACAGTAATCATGGAGAAACAGGACTTCTGTGAATGCTCGCCACTCATTTATATCAGGGGGCAACCACTGCCAAGTTCATTCACCCCAGAGAAGGGTGGTGGAGGGTTTATAGTCTTGGAATGAGAAATTTCTGATCCAGCAATAAAACTTCTCTTCCACAAGGCTCTTGGGACATCGATTTTTATTAACGAGAAAAACCAAGAAAATAATGACAGTATTTTAAGTTTTAGAATATTTGTTTTCTAGGTAAAGGACCCCAAAATTGGTTACCTTAAAAGCTTTACATTGATTCACTTGGTTTTCCCTCAACTTTCTTCAGTTACATTTTCCTGAAGCTTTACTTCCTGCAATGGCCGGCAGGCTATCACAGTTAACAAGAGTCAGGCCTGCACTACAAACCTTTGGCTTTAAAGCACGTGGCATTTTAGTTTTAACAGGGAATAACAAGTTCAAAGTCTGACAGATTTTGAAAATGGATGAAAGTATATGATAGCAGCTGGTCAGAATTTCCCCGCTTAACTGTAGGCAAGGACCATTCCAGGAAGGTGGTGGAAGAGAGAAGGGTGGATATTTGAAAAGAATATAATCTCTGATTATAGAAAATAGCACACAGGGCACTCTTACCAAAAATTTCTGGATTCTTTGAAGATACATATAAGAAAAATTCTGAATCCCCAAGATAAACTTTTTAACAAATTCTGTAGGACAGACAACTCCTTCCAGACTTTGAACAGTTTCGGTAACCACAGATCTTATTTGATTACTTAAGAGTATTAACACATTGGGATTTTTACAAGGGGACTTACATCTAATGGCTAAAGCATTACTGAAGTGCATTTGGGTGACTGAAACTGAGTTTGTCTTTAATGAAAATAAGCCTCTCAAAAACGATCAGATTGCTTGCCAACTGTTAATGGGTAAACATTTATATTTTTAATTAAAGTATTATGAGAATACATAGATACCTTGTGTCAAAATTATTTTCCATGTGGTTACTGAAAAGATTTGATAACTCTGGAATCACTGGTAAAGGTCAAATGTCACCATTGAAAAATATATTCTAACAAGGGGCGCCTGGGTGGCTCAGTCAGTTAAGCGTCTGACTCTTGATCTCAGTTCAGGTCTTGATCTCAGGGTCATGAGTTCAAGCCCCACATTGAGCTCCACGCTGGAGGTGGAGCCTACTTACAAAAAGATAACTAAGCCAAACTACAGTGTATGAGAATGGAAAAAGTTCTTGGGTTCAAAAAGATTCTCCATGTCAGCTCAGCTATATGGCCACTGTTGCATAAAAGAGCTAGGTGGCAGGTCCTGAACTTCCTCTTTCACGAGTGCCAAAGCCTGCTTTGCAATTTTACAAAATATACCTTTAAAAACTCTGGATTTCAGTTCTAAATAATTAGTAACTGATTTCAAAAACCCATAGGAAAAAAAAAAAAAGATTCCACCTCCCCTGTATTCCAGTAGTTCTCTGGATGATTCTGAAACAATCAATATTCACAATTTCATTTTTGTTTTTTAAACATGCAACTAGAGAGACTGGATTAGGATCTGCATTTTTAGTTCCCAAGAAGTTGGATATGTGGCTAAATCTTTTTTTTTTGGCCAAGGAAAAGTAGCCCCCTGACTTGACTCTACAAGCAAAGAGCACAGCATTTCAACCTGAATCAACAAGAATAAACTATTATCTGGTGGTTATGTAAACCAGCAGTGATCTCTCCATCGCCCTTACCTCAGTTCAAAATCCTGACCATACATGGCCTTGGAGAGAAGTCTAATTCAAATCAAGGGTTCAAACTGCATTCTCTGGGGTGATGTCTCACTGCTCAGGTAAGGGTCATTCCAAACAGGGCATGCAGGAAGTGATCACATTTAAACAAAACAACCTGCTCTTGCTTCATGTTTGCTTCGTGCCATCTCCAGGTTTAATCATGGTCTCTCAGAGATCCTTGCACCACTGAGGATACTACCCTAATTCATTATTAGTCAAGAATATGAGAAACTGTGATAGCCTCCAGTCTGAAACCATGGAAAACAAACCAAGCCCATTAACAGAAGAGAGCTTTTCCAAAACTCAGAAGTTACAGCTATTTTTTCCATAATAACACTGGATATTAAAGAGAAAGAATCTGTTTCTTGACTTGCAGTTCTCAATTATCATTATTTTTCTTTCCTAATCACCTTTGGGGACCAGCCTACTTCTCTTTCAACATCCCTTTCTCTTCCTCTCCCCACCACTGAACCTCCTCCAAACTTAGGAGAAACTTAGTGAAAAGAAAACTTTACTTTTCCTGTTTCACTTTACTTTTCCTGTGAAACTTAGGGAAAAATAAAGTGCTAAGGATTAAGCCTTGACTAGTAAGGTGGACAATTCGTCCCAAATCATGAATGGACAAAAGTAAAAGCAACAAATGGACTACCTTTTTCAGGAAAAATAAACCAAAAGGCTTGAAAGTTCTTCCAAACAAAATCTTAAAAATACTGTAACAAAATGCAACACAGCTAAATCATTTTATACCACTGCATAATACAAGTATTAACATTCTTCTTATAGGCCCTTAATACCTACACACAGATCTATTAGCTACCAGGTAGCTTTCACAGGTAATGTGAAAGATGGGAGGGAAAGGAAAAACCACAGGGTAGTTAATTACTAGGTTCATCCCTCACATGCCTTCTTAGTCAAGAGCTCAGCACATGTGTGCTGCTCACATCCTGTGGTTCTACCAACACTAAGTACAATGGGATGAATCAAGGATAGAAGCAGCAGCAAGAACAAGTGAGTTTTAGGTTTAAGTGGGACCTCCTGGCTTTCAGTAGTCTGTATTATGCCACAGAGGCTAACCAAATACAGTTAGTTGCAGGGAGGAATAAGGATTCTAAGTCAGTGATGAAAATGTGAATGACTTTAATTTACTGGAATGAAAGGTGTAAGTAAAGAGACCTAACAGATTTCCTACCTAACTTATATTTTAAGGGCAAAGAAGGAAAAAAGGGAGCAGTAGCATTAATAGTGTACTCACAGGTACCAGGAACTATAGTCAGGGTTTTAACATGATTTCACTGAACATTAACCACATACTTCCCAGTGAAATTCACAGATTTTAAGAACTATAAGGCTAACATAAAAGGACTGCTGCATATTAATATTAATCCTCCATCACCAAAAAGGCAGGTTTTAACCTCTATCGTTCCTCTTTGCCATTATAAATAGATGTAACAGATTGAGACAAACCACTGCATTTCATTTACATGTCAAATATGAAATCCTACCACCTATGCTAAATCAGATACTTTAACATGTTTATAAAATCTTCACTATGAAAAGTAAAAGAAATCGATAATGTCCAGCATTTTCAATTATAAAAAACCTGCCCTGAATCTGCAACTTCTGAAGGCAACATATTGTCATTGTTACTAATTTCACTGGAAGTTTCCAGAGATTTTTGTTCCAAAAGGGAAGAAAAGCAAAATTAAGTTTAAAAGTTCATAAAGAAATATAAAACATTTCCATTTCTCTTTTCTGTCCCCTCAACCCAAACAGAAGGGCTGCTTCCTCAATGGCTTAAGACCATGTGTGCCTTACTGAATCATGATTGCTACTTAACATATTTACTGGGTCATAAGCACAACAGGCAACTTCCATTCTGCAGTTCGTATCATCTGCACTATAATCTAAAAGAAAAAGAGAAATATTTACCAAATTACCTGCTACTGCTGTTATTCTTCTTGGATTTGTTCCTCCGTTTTAAGGCATCTCTGTCCTTGTTATTGTATGGTAACATGGAGGCATAACCATGTTCAGCTTCTAGAAAACCGAAGGATCCAGTTAATGAATGAGCCTAGAACATTCAATACTCTCTCCCCTCCACAGTATTTCCTTTTTAAATTTTATTTTTCATTAAAAGAATATTGTGTTAAGAAACAAACGATGCAAGGTGGAATTCTTAGAACAATGATTTTTTTTTTTTTAATTGTGTGAATACCCTCAGTTCGGAGCAGGTGTAAGGAGCATTCCAGCTGCTCATTGTTGAGAAAGACACAGCAAGTCACTAAGCTCATGGAGCTTGGGTTCCCCATTGGCAACGTCCAGCAGGTTGGCGTGCTTTAAGTGGGACCAGCTTCGGGCGAAGGTGCGGGGCAAACACCCGGAACCCAGAGGGCGGGGAAGGGGGGGCGCAGGGGAATCGCTGCTCCTCCAGCTGGGAGACCGGGCGCCGGGCCCACTTGGGGGCCGGTCAGGACGAGCCCCGGTGAGGTAAACCAAGGGCCTGGCCGAGGGGACCCCGGGCACCCCATCTGCTTTGCGGTGGGGAGCGGCGCTCCGGACTCCGGGGGGCAGCGGCCCCTTTTCCACCCTCATTCATTGCCTTTGGGGCAGCGGCGGCCTCCCTTCGGACCGCGCGTGGGGAGAGCTGGAGGGGTTGGGAGCGCTCGCGGTCGCGCTCTCTGCGCCTCCAACCACCCCCAGAGCGGCTGGGCGCCCCTACCCCGCGGCCGGGCCCCTCAGAGCCCCCGGCCCCGGCTCGGGACGGACCCCTCCCGTCCCCGTGCACCTCTCTCCCGCCGCTCCAGGTAGTCAGCCGCCTCCAGCAGCATCTGGATGTTCATCCGAACCGCCGCCGCCATTCTGCACCGGGGGCCGGAGCCGCGGGACCAACCCCCACTGCCCACGGGCTCGCCGCCGCCGCCGCCGGACACCCGCGCCCTGCTGTGGACCCCGCAGAGCAGGGTTGAGAGAGCCTCTTTGGCTACCACGCTCTCCAGAAAGGGGGGGGGTCCGGTGAGCTGGGCACCGCCGACACCGTGACAGAACCCGAAGAAGAGCAGCAGCCGCCACCGCCGCGGAGTGTTTATCTCCGACTCACCATCCCCCCGCCCCCAGGCCCTTCTCTTGACAGGCCCGCTTCGGCTGCGTTCCTCATTGGGCACCCAAAAGAATGCCCCGCCCCTGACCTTGTCCGATTGGGGAAAAGCATTACGGCCCCGCCTACTAGAGTCCGCTCCTCTCTCTGGTTGGTCATGCTTGACAAGGCCCGGGCTCCACCCCCCCTTTCCAATTGGTGACAGGATTCGCAACTCCGCCTCGTGCTCCTTCCCTGTTTTCCATTGGTTCTATACCGACAACCCCCTTTTGCTTTGTTAGTATTGGCCCAGAGCTACAGAAAGCGAGCCACTTTGCCTATCTCCCATTGGTGGAGCCGGCTGAAACCTCCCAGTTACGATGACGTCACCCTTCTCCGGGTCTAGCGAGCCCTGAGTGGCTGGTGATCAGCGGCGCCGCTACTCCTCCCCTGATCTGGCATTGGCTGGGAGGGCTGACCTGGGCGCTGGCGCTGATTCACCGGCCGCCGTGGAGCTCGGCTCTGTCCGGCCCATCCCGGCCCTGCCTCGGACCTGTTGCCTGGACCTGTCCCCGGGGAAAAGTTCCGAGGGCCTGCCGGGTATCCCTCGAGTGGAAGGCTGGCACCGCGTGTCGCCTGGGCGCTCTGTCCCGCTCGGGTTCCGGGCCGGAGCCCTTGGTCTGGCGGCCACGGTCCCAGAGGTTCCAGGCTTCCCGGGACCCGGGCGGCGGTGGGTCCCGCCGCGAATCCCTCCGAAGGGAGATTGGCGCCGGCAACCTGGTGGGCCCTGGGCTCCCGCGGGCGCCACGTGGCTGTGGGGCTTGAAGGAAAAAGCTTGGCTCGCGTTGAATGCTCGCCGCCCAGCGTTTCTTCTCTTCTCAGAAAGCGGTGAAATCGGGCGGCTGTTTACAGCCCTGCGCGTCTTTTATGGCACTCTCCACCCCTACCCCAAGTGCAAGCATAATCACTCCCTCACGCGAGGGGGTGCTTCAAAAGCTCAAAAACTTACTGCACCTACAGAATGATTGGGGCTGAATCCCGAGGTTCTTTGACCCAAATTTCTTACAATCTTCCCTTCCCTTTTAATTCTAGATGAAAACATTAAAAACAAAAAACAAAAAAAACTTCCTCTGTCCAAGTCTGTAAATCGTGTTTGTTTGGGGGGTAGTACCAATAGAAATATATAGAACTAAAAATTTAAGATTATTCCCTAAGCCTATCAAGATTTTTGAGATGAAAGCTAGCTATCCGGAGAGCCAAGTTACATTGTTAATATACTGACATCTCCATCTTAAAAAGGAGGAATAAATGTCTTGGTAAGCTTGAACATATTTCATAAAGCTTTTAAAAAAGTTTACTGTTGGCAATATATGAAAATAATAGCTTACTATGTGTCACCTGCATTATCACTAATCCTCAGTATAACCCAATTAGATAGGTTAATTATCTACATTTTGAACACCAGGAAACTGAGACCCAGAGAAGCTAAGTGACTTTCCTTAGATGATGGAGACTGAACCTAGATCTGTTTCACCTACAGCCCATGCTACCAATGTCTTAAACAAGAGTTAAGAAATAGATTTCCAGACTGAGTCACAAACACTGACACTCAAACACTGGGGGTAAAGGAAGAAAAACACTGTAAATGTAATCATGATGGGAATTTTTTTAAAGGTGTCCTTTTTAGTGGTTGACAAATCCAATAAAATTAAAGTCAACAGAATTAACAGGTAGAATAAATGTAGTAAACCATGCCTGACGTATAGGAAACATTTTCTGGTTTTAATGGTTAATTGAATCTAAAAGCTTCTTCTTATGAAAGCTAATACACTGAAGATAAAGGTTTTCAAGAAAGCACAGAGTTAGAAATGAGAATGGGGATATAACATTTTTAACAAGTATTTTTTTTTTTTTAAGATTTCATTTATTTATTTGAGAGAGAATACATGAGCAGTGGGGAGGGGCAGAGGGAGAGGGAGAAGCACACTCCCCGCTGAGCAAGGAGCGTGGGACTTGATACCAGGACCCTGAGATCATGACCTGAGCCAAAGGCAGACGCTTAACCGACTGAGCCACGCAGGCGACCCATTTAATAAGTATTTTTTAATTGCAAGTTATTTGTAAAACAAATTTGAAAGTCATAATGAAATAAATACAATTCTACTAAAGTACTAAAACTGACAATAGTAAAAACACTTCATTATCTTAAATTTGGACTTTATATACTTTTATATTTTCTATGATTTTATCATGAACATTCAGCATATTTCTTTATTCTTTCTCTCTTATCCGCAACTTTTTTTAGTCCAGTCTTATTTCAATACCATGATCCTTCCCCTTGAATCAATGTAATTGAAAACCACTACATAAAACGGAAAAAAAGGTTGTCAGAAATAGCAAATTAATAATTTAAATACCAACGGGTTTATCTTTTTTTAAAAATTTGACAGAGAGAGACACAGTGAGAGAGGGAACACAAGCAGGGGGAGAGGGAGAGGGAGAAGCAGGCTTCCCGCTGAGCAGGGAGCCCAACCCGGGACTCGATCCCAGGACCCTGGGATCATGACCTGAGCCGAAGGCAGACGCTTAACGACTGAGCCACCCAGGCGCCCCTTTTTAAAAATTTTGAAGGTTCCATTCTTAAGTAATTTCTACACCCAACATGGGGCTTGAACTTAGAACCTCAGATCAAGAGTTGACTGCTTTTCCAACTGAGCCAGCCAGGTCCCCCCAATAGGTTTATCTTGGACATGGTTTACATGGACAAAAATACTAAGTTATATAACAATCACAGAATTAGATGAAAGAATGGGCCCTTTCTAATCCCTGGTGGTGGTGGTGGTGGTGGAAGAAATTATCAATTAGCCAATAACACCAACTAGAAATTAGTATCATGAATTTTAAAGGGTATTTGGTGCCATCTACTGGAGATGAAGTAGTACAAAACAAAGGTTTTGTTTTGTTTTTCTAGAAATTATTTTACACAAATGTACACAATGTCTAGTTAAGATAATCTAGAAGTACAGGTTTTGAAGAAAGAAGTAAAAATCCTAAAACAAAATAAGTGGTAACCCCCAGCACCCAGTGCCTCAAAGGCATTATAAAAGCATTGACTACTAGGCACAAACCCAAAAGTGAAAAAATGGGAATTCCAGAATGTTTGAACCTAAACTTTGTGACCAGAATTTTAAATAAAAAGTTATGCATGAATATGGGCTGTCCAAAAATAGTTCACATTTTCAAGCAGGCATCAAGATAAACTAATAGAACTGGGAAGGAGAAAGAAAATGCTGAAAATGCGGAAGCATAAACACAGAAGATATTATACTTGTTAATCTTTACTGCATCTTTTAGAAGGCTAAGACCCAGCCTCCTTCGAGGGCCAGAAAGGCATAAGATAGTATGTAAATGCCAATGCCAAATGGCAGGCTCATTAAATGCTATGGGAATTGTGATACAGAGATGCCTCTTCAGTGAATCCCTCAGAGTGGCAGGAAGACTACTGTTGTATTATAATCCTTAAATGTCTAAAAAGTTCCGAGCTGTGGGAATTAAAAAAAAACTCTATTTGTAACTGAGCTTGACACCTAACCACCATGACATTAAAATGAATTTTGTTTTATATGTTTCTGAGGAATTGATTTTATTCTTTGAAGTATAAAAATCAGGACTGAAATTTGCTACTTCCCTAATATTAATCCCCTTCTTTGTGGCTACTTTGGATGCTCTGATATCATAGTATTATTGGATGATCTAGTATCATGATATAAGCTTTAAAAACCTTTAAAAATGCTGCTTTCCAAAAATTAGTTACTCCACGAATTATTTGTGATTTTAAAAACAGCAATAGCTAAACAAACAGTGGTAGTACATTCCACAAAACACTATGGTAGCAGTTAAAAAAAGTAGAGGTATATATATTGGCAAGGAAAGACCTCCAATGCAGTGTTGAGTAAATAAGCTGTAAAATGTTCCTGTAGTATATAATTTATGTGTAAAAAAAAAAAAAAGCCCAAACTATGTACTTTCCTCCTTTGCAACTTTGTTACATACATAGGTACACAGGCATAAGTCTGGAAGGATATACTGCAAAGGATTCACAGTGAAGGAGCAATAGGACCAGGACTGTGGGTACTGTTCAAAAGGGGTTTTGCTCTGTCATAATGTTTTAAAATTTTTACAGGAAAAAATGTGTCCATTTATTACTTGGGTAACTAAAGGTTAACACAAAGATCAAAAGAAGTGGTTAAGTGAAAAAAAAGGTTACTGAACTCTTTTCATGGATTGAGCAGATATTTTTGGGTGCTTTACTCTGTGCCAGGAACTTTGTGGTGCTGGGGCTACAGCAACAAACAAGACAGAAGCCCCAGTTCTCAGAGCCGGATGTCTAGTGTAAGAACCAGACTGTAATAAATGAATACAGTATGTCAGGCAGTGATAATTGCTGTTAGGAAAAGGAAACTTTGCACAGCATATGAAGAAACTGTAAGCTTCACATATGCTGGTGGGAATGTAAAATAGTGCAGCTGCTTGTGAAAACCGTTTGACATTGCCTCAAAAAGTCAAACATTAATAATATGAGCCAGCAATTCCACGCCTAGTTATATACCCAAGAGAACTGAAAATATGTTCATACAAAAACCTGTATACTAATGTTCATAGCATCATTATTTATAAAAGCCAGAAAGTAAAGTACAAATGCCCATCAACTGATGGATTATAAAAATGTGGTAGATTCACAGAATACTGACCATAAACAAGGAATGAAATAATGACACATGCTACAGTATGAACAAGCCTTGAAAACATTAAGTGAAAGAAGCCAGATATAAAAGGCCACATACTGTATGATTCTATTTATATGAAATGTCCAGAATAGGCACATCTTTAGAGACAAAATGTACGTAAGTGGTTTCAGGGGTGGGGAATGAGGGTGGCACAGAGGGATGAAGAGTGACTGTTAATTGGGTATGGGGTCTCTTTGGGGTGATGATACATAACTGAATATACCAGGGGCACCTGGGTGGCTCAGGTCATGGTCCCAGGGTCCTGGGATTGAGCCCCACATTGGGCTCCCTGCTAAACGGGGAGCCTGCTTCTCCCTCTCCCTCAGCCCCTCCTCCTGCCTGTGTTGTTTCTCAAGTAAATAAAATCTTAAAAAAAATTAACTGAATATACTAAAACCCACTGAAATGGTACCACTGTAAAAGGGTGAATTTTAGCTCAATTTTTTAAATGTTAAAATAAGTAGAGCAGGGTAAAGGGATAGAGGGAAGCAGTGTTGCTATTTTGGATACGATGGTCAGGAATGACCTTATTTTGGGCAGAGACCTAGAGCTACCCAAGCAAATTGGGGTGGAAGTCGGGGAGCAGAAAGGAACATTCCATGAGGAAGAGCAAGTGCGAAGACTCTTGAGGTAGATTCACACGTGTTCTCAAGGAACAGCAAGGTCAGCAGCATGGCTAAAGGCAGCAGCAAGGGGGTGAGACTGTGGGAAGCCAGGGTTCAGACAGTACAGGGCTGTACATTATAGTAAGGACTGGACTTTATTCTGTTTTTTTATAGATTTCTTTTAGTGAGAGAGCGAGAGCAAGAGAGAGTGACTGCATGGGTGTGGGGGGGAGGATGACAGAGGGAGAAGAGATAATCCCAAGCAGACTCTGCAGTGTGGAGCCTTGACGCTGGGCTCCATCTCATGACACTGAGATCATGACCTGAGCTGAAATCATGACCTGATGCACATTTTAAAAGGTTCACCTCTGCTGCTGGGTGGAGAATAAACTAAGGCAGCAAGAGAGGCTATCGCAGGGGCGCCTGGGTGGCTCAGTCATTAAGCATCTGCCTTCGGCTCAGGTCATGATCCCAGGGTCCTGGGATCGAGCCCCGCATCGGGCTCCCT